TATTTTACATTATAACTAAAAGTAGATATATATGTGTGTAAGTGTTTTTTCTTTTTTAGCAACATTTGTTATTGTTGATCTTTTGATGAGGGTATGCTGTTTTTCCCACTTTTTGGAGAAATTTTATAAAGGCCAAAAGTGGAGTATGGAAGAGAGTTTCAGTTTGCAAGTAACCTTAAACTTTAATAAAAAATATAGTGAAAACTCACTTGTTGTTTCTCTTAGACCAACTATTTTTAACTTCGTCAACAGAAGCAGAGCTTCTATTAAAATTTTCTGTACAAGGACACCACCTTTTTGCCAATTATCTTGTATAGAAATGCTTTTAACTTGCATATTGAATATATAAAGAAGTTTGAGAGAATAGAGAAAGCCTTGACCTCTGTAAAAACTATTATTTGTAGTTGTCCCTTCTACTTTTCTCTAATAAGTTTCTGTTTTTGTTAGCCATAAGTTTGGTATGAGTAATCATTGAAGAGAGTTGTATGAATAAAAGTTGTAAAATGCCAATTATATTATATAATTTTTATAAACTAACTAATAAATTTATTAATTTGTATGAATATCTAAATATTATAAATAATTTAATTTTTAAAGCATTCAAATAATTAGTATAAACAATGATATAGTAAAATAAAACAATTATTAGAAGAAGAAACAACAAGTAATAATACTATAATATTTGTTTTTATATTTGAAAAGAGAGATAGTAGAGAAAGATGAGTGAATTAGATAAGTAGTTAAAAAAAAAGATATTTTTAGAATAAATTTTAATATAAATACAAAAAAAATATTCTAATAGCTTTGCTATGTTAATTAATTTAAAAGAAAAAAAATATTATAAAAATATTAAATGAATTTAATACTAAAGCTTTAGAATTAACAAAAATCATCAAGAGATTATACTATAAGCTTACAACTTCATTCTTAAAACCAACAAATATCTCAAAATTAGCAAACATTTATACATCAGAATTAACAAACATCTATGCATCAGAATTATATCTCAAAACTACAAATAAAAAGGAACAAATGATACTAGTAAAAAATAATCATTATAATCAAGTAATAAATACTAAAAAAAGATAAAGAAGCATCAGTGCTGATTGCAAATAACAAAGACTATAAAGTATTATAGCAAATTATAAATACTGTTATTAATCAATTTCCTAAAATCAGCAATAATTAGTTCAAAATAAATTGTTTTGTTCAATAAAATATTTAATTAATCTATTTGTCTAGCCAATTACTAAATTGTTTTATTCAGCTAATTACAATTTAAAAAGTACACTAATTACAATTTACAAAGTACATTAATTACAATTTACAATTACGTTAATTACTGTTTAAAAGTATTCGCACGGGTCTATGTAAAAATCATGTGAATTTGAAATCACATGATTTTAATAGATCCGTGCGAGTGTCCAGGATTATGATCCGGCATAATATGCGATTTTTACTACACAGTGGCTCTCGATATAACGGAGGCCATGATTCCAGTTCTTTGCTCTGTTATATCAAAAGCTCCGTTATATCAAAATCTCATGATATATAAGATATTATCGTAAATCATAATTTGGTTCCATTATAATTCTCCGTATTAAGCAATTTCCGTTATATCGATGGTCCGTTATATCGAGAGCCACTGTGTATATGAAATCGCTCACTTTCATGCAACATGTGAACAAAAATTGATTGGTCAAATGAATAAACCGGTTTGTCCCTGTGACTGCAATCACCTGACTTGTCTTTTTGAAATTTTATTGGCTAATAACTCAAAATTCGCATTAATTCGCATACCCTAACCCGACGTTCAAAAAAAGCACGGGTTGTTACATTAGACCCGTATGATGAATCGGTTTTATTATACTGAATATACAAGCCGATTGAGCCGTTTTGCATCGCTAAGCTGCTTGAAAACACCATAAGAGCAAACCAATTTTTTCTATATCAAACTGGTCTTCTTAAGTCTAACTGTGGTCTATTAGTCTAATATAGCATCCCTAAGAGCTAATCATATTGTACCTGAAGTTGCACTTGCCTAAAATTGTTAATTAATACATGCAAGAAAATATAATTTCAGGTGCCAATTTCGGTCAGGTGAAATTTAAAGGTATCAAATTCACGACAATATCTAATTTAGTTTAGTGGTTATTTTGATTCCCCAAATGCACTGTCCTGACAGTGCACTTAAGGAATTGCGCACGGACATTCCCGATATGATATTATAATCCACACGATCATATGGGTCAGTACACAGCAAAAGGGGGCTTCGGAACGAATTTTTTATTTGTAGATATCAATATTTAATCAATTAAAAGTTTAAATATAATATATAGATAAAAAAATACTGCGTATAAAATTGTACAAAATTTTATTATGCTAATGCAAGCTAAAAAATTTCCTCACGATTTCTGGATAGAGAGCAATTGCTATCAATATAACATATCCCAAGAAAAGTTAATAGTTTCAATTCTGCTCAATGGAATAAACAAACACTATACAGATATTATATAAATACCCTAATTATGGGCGAATTCATCATATTTCTACTGTGAATAAATCACATATTTAGAAATATAATCCGATAAAAATCTCGACCTTGACCAAAATGTCTCTAAACCTCGTTTTGCTGTGTACTGACCCATATGGTGTTGGAAGTTTATGCTCGACAATAACATAACTTGCCGACCGAGATCAATCTACAACGGGCAGTTAGATGCCTATTATATGATTGATTTATTAAAAAGCAACAACTTTATAGAAATAATATCATAAATAACCAACTGGTAACATTATTCTTCGTGATAAGCACTACAAAGTTATTGGACAATTGTTGAAATATTACATTTCCAAAAAGTTCTTTCCTTCATGCATTCAAACACGCGACTACGAAATAAAGAAATATTACATTTCCAAAAGTCCTTGCTTTCATGCACTCAGACACGCGACTACGAAATAAAGAAATTGGCACTTAGTTTTTATGCCTTTAGAATGTATAAAAAATATCACTGAAGCAATTTTAGATAGCTGGACACACTACTCTTATTTCAGGAAACCTACAGCTAGCATCTTCACTATCGTCTTTATCGTAAGCTTATTTTTAAGCATCAGCAAATCAACCATGTGTATGACTATAATGATTCATATTAAATCAAAATATAGTTAGTGTATTTCCTAAATATATACGAACATTTAAATGGGTCTAGCTATATACTTTATGATAAACATACAGTCAACCCGAACATGGATAATCCGAACCCTTAATAAAACTCTGTAAAAACCGAATACAAGCTTCAGAAAATTTTATTATAAAGTTCAGATTAGCAACATAGTAACTCTTTGAAAGCTGGACTTTTTGATATTTTTACATATAAAGACGGACTGTTCGGAATAGAGAGTTGACTGTATAATAAAGCTAAATATGTATTTAATGTTGAATTTTTATTATAGTTGACTGTATATGAAAATCGAGTATCTGTAATTCATTTCTATTAGAAAAGCTTAACGATAAGAATTATAAATTCACATTTTCATATGATCCGATGATCATTTCCTATGGCCTGACAACAAATGCCATAATCGGAAACATTTATAGTCTGTTAGTAATGCAAAACATGCTTATATTACGCCAAAGTAGTGTAACGGTCAAATCTTGCAAAACCGGAACTTTAGCCTTATACTTGGGAGTCGGAGTTTTGTTTGTTACGCCAATATTTTGTTTTCATTGGCTACGAACCTATACGGAGGGTCCGGATTTGCAGGACATAGATAAGTGTATGACTCTATCGCTATGGATATAGACTTTTAAAACTTATGTTAGCTCGACATAGAAGTGTGGCTCGCTATAGAGATTTTAGTGCAGTATTTCAATATAACTGTTTTGCTTCAAGGCTTGATCCAAGTGGACGCGCATAAAAAGTGCATACACATAACTCAGTGAAATGGTAAAATAACGTAATGTTAGTGATTTTTTACATATAACTCAATTTATCATTACGCAATTGATAAAAATATCCAGAATTGGATAATATTCCAGTGACCAATAAAAATGGGTTAATTTTTAGAAATGAGATTCATTTTTTTGTACTTAATGGACTGATCTTTTTAATTATCCGATACTGCTTCTTTTTTTTTCTTAAAAAAAACAACACATCCTTTTCTTTCGAAAAAAAATGATTGTCCTTTCAAAATATAATGAAACCTCTCAAAATAACAGTCCTGGTGGTGTCCTGACTTACACCTATAGATGGAAAATAACCAACTGGACTGAAGTTAGGCCTTTCATGGAGCATACTAGCCCCTCTTTTAATGCTGATGGTCTGCATTGGTATGTATAGCCTGCTTTATTTTTGCAAAAACTAATTACAGCATCTTGAATTGACTACTGGGTTTTAAGGGTTTTTAAGGTATTAGGCTGAGCCTATTCTTCGATAATGTAATTTAAAAGGGTTATTCCAATTTATTTTTTATGCAATGTTCGTAATTCTCTTAAATGATTACAATTATTATTACAAGTTCTACAAAGGAAGACAAAAGAATCCGCAGGTACTTTATAACTTAATAATTGACTATAATTTAATATACTCCTACCTTTTTTTCACTGTTGATATTATTTGAACTGTTTCTTTTGATAAGGCCCTGTCTTTGTATTTAGGTATCGTGGAGACAACACCAGGATGTCTTCAAGGCATTCGTAAGAAAGTCAGTATTATTTTCGTATTGGAAAATTTGAGAACAAGAGGAATGGATTTTGGAAAGAGTATGTTTAAATTAATACCTTTTTTATTTATTTATTTATTTATTTATTTTTTAGCATTCTTTTATGTTGTTATTAATTAATTTATTGCATTCCCATTATTTTTATTAGTGGAGCTGCCCGTTTGGTTCTGTGATAGTATGCATGTTTTGAATTATTATACTTTTTTTCTTATCTACTTTGCAATATATTTATTGATATTGAATTTACAGAACATTCTACTTGGGGAGAAGAAAATCTTATGTCTTTAGATGAAATGGATAGGTAAATATTTTATAAACTGCTTATTTGTGTTGTATATAACCATATTTTCTAAAGTCTTATAAAAAACCAATTTTTATAGATTTATCAGTAATGATACCGTTTCCCTTTGTGTCAAATTTGAAATTCAAGAATCTATCATAGATGCATTACCCGAAATTGTCAATCCTTTTAATAAGCTAGTTAACTCTCCAAAATTTTCTGATATAACTTTCCGTGTAACTGATGATTATGGACGAGATAAGTTATTTTATGCTCATAAGGGAATTCTTGCTAGTTCATCACCAGTATTCGAAGCAATGTTGACAAATGGAATGAGAGAGACTTTTGAAGATGAAATTCACTTAAGCCAAACAAATCATTCAGCTTTTCTTGCTTTACTCACTTTTATATATACTTTTAAAGTCAATAACACTTCATTGAACAATGCTGAAAATTTATTAGCTTTGGCCGATAAATTTGCTATTATCCCCGTTCGGGAAGAATGTTTACGTTATTTCCGCTTGGAAATGAATACTGAGAATGTATGGGGAATTTGGGCAATTGCTGGTATGTTTTTACACTGGTGCGTGCTGTATTTTTTTTTTATATTCTTATCTATATATTAACTTTTAGTCTTTATAAGAAAAATTTTCATGTGCTAAAACCTCAACTACATGTCGGGATTTTGTTGCTCTTAATCTGGATACTCTATTGGATAAGCAATCGACACTTTGTGCTGATCCAAACATTCTCTGCCTCGCTCTCGAAAATGATGAAGCTAATGTAACTTCTGAAGAAAAGATTTATGAACTTGTTGTTCGATGGGCAAATTATTCATGCACCAATGATTCATCCAGTAAATTATCAACTAGAAAAACTTCTTCCAAGAGCATAAAAGTTGATGCTTTATCATCTACTCCATCCTCCTCATCATCTGCTTCCATGCTTTCAGAACTTCCAAAAGATGCCGGTGATTCCAGTCAATTATCTGAAGGCAAAGAATCTGTGGATCAGGATTTTAGCGATAATGAAACAATGGACGATGATGATGATGATGATGAGACTGAAGATGCTCATAAGTTTCCAAAACCTTGGAAAGGTGACAGATTGGCAGCTCTTCCATCTTTGCTAAAATGTGTTCGATTCCCAGTGATGCAAAAACGTTATATTGTTGAAAAAGTTGAGGGAAATGCAACTGTTATGTCCGCCGAAATTATGAAAGATCTTGTGAGTGAATTTTATTTATATCGTTCGACCTAATAAGTTTATCGCGTATTAATTGTTTGTTTATTCTATTAGATAATTGAAGCTTATCGATTTCATTTAATGCCTGATGTGTCTATTCATCCTACTAATAGGACCAAACTTCGCAAAAAAAAGACAAAAATTACTGATTAAATGAATTTATATTTAGGTTTAAACACTAGATTAGTAGCTTTCATAAATTTGTATATAGTTATGGTATTGTTATATGAACATTCTTATAATTGAAAATAAAACATTGTAGACTAGTTAAATATATTGAACAATTTGACTAATCTTTGATTAACAAATCTCTAGACGTTAATATTTATATAATACGGTCAAACCTGTATAAATGAATACTGTTTAAATGAATATCCTGTATAAATGAATACAAATTTGAGAACCAAGTTGGTTATTAAGGCTAATTGCATAAACTGCTTAACTGAATAATGCATAAAGTTTTTAATTTTTTATTAATAAAAGTTTTATAAAAGTTATTCTATCTCACAAATTTTAGAATTTGATTGTTTAAAATTATAACATATAAAAATTTTATTAATATTTTTTAATATAATTTGATTTTTGTAAATGAATATCCTGTCTAAATGAATACAAAATTGGTCCACCGACCATATTCATTTAGACAGGTTTGACTGTATAGAGTTATTTGAAAAATACAACATTATCTAGCCGTGAAATTTAATATGCCAGCTTCTGGACCCCTTCGGGGCCTAGAAGCTGACATATTAATTCGCTGCCTAACAAATAAGTAATTGGAGCTATTGGCTGCGTAACATTCAATAACAGTATTATCCAGATAGTTACGACGACCGAACCATCGAGTTATTTTGATGATTGCGTCATTATCAAATAACGAAGTTATTTGCAATCATCACCAGAATAACTCGAGTTATTCTGTTGATCATAGTAGCTGTCGGATAATATGGGCTGTGTTCTGAGAAAGGGGCCAAATTAACAAAAAAAAAGTTTTGCGGAAATTTGATTATTATCTAAAGAAAATACAAACTTTAAAGAGTTATTCTGCAAAATTTTATTAAGTTAACAGAATTTGTTTCTTAAGTAAAAAATGATTCTGGATTAGTTAAGCTTAAAAAAATTTTTTTGTAAAATTGTCAATTTGGTTCCTTCTCTCAGAACACAGCTCATATATATTATTTGAAGGAATTTTAGATATAATTTCGAGTCTTCCGAATAAAACCTTTGTTTTTAATAAAAAGAACTTTGTAAAATGAATAATATACTGTAGTTTTACTTAGGGTTGTTAATGGGTTGGGTTGGGTTGGTTTGGGTTGACCCAATCTTCAACCCACTCCACTAAATTAGACCTA